ATTCATAACAATATCACAATATATTGCATGACAAGCGATATGGTTATGAACAATAAATTGTGTTCGAAATGCCATTCAGTAAATAACACACTTTCACTGTGTATATATATATATATATATATATATATAATCGACAGATTAATTGATACGTCTAAGAAATAAATGACTCAAGGAATATTTAAATCATGAAAATTAAATTACAATAAGTTTCCCTTAGCATATAAAGTATCAGGCCAGATGAGCAAATTTTTATTTTGTTTTTATTAAAGCAGAGATTACTGAAACAGTATATGCCTGTCAACTAGATAAAATCAAAACACAAAAGTTAGTTATTGCTTAAAACTTTGTCGTGTTTATCCAAAATATAGGTATATTCAAATTTCGCGGAAATCCTTGCTTTAAAATATGTGAAAAAAACCTCCTATAGTATCTAACGATCTAATTTATGTTGTATTTACTCATAAAGAAATTGTTCTGAGCTGTACCCTGGTAACAGTTAACTCCTATTCTACCATTTGCATACAATTCCTGGTCAAAAACACGCATAGATTCTATGATCATAATGAATCAGTGTTATAAACATAACAATGATCTTAACATTAGTTGCTTTCCTTACTCACATAAATATCGAACGACAGAGACTGAAGAAACCGTCCATCGAGTTAAGCAAGAGGTCAGTTTTTCGTCTGTAGCACTGGCTGGCGGTTGCTTCGTATATATATCACGAATTGGCAGATGTCAAAATGTGTGGACCACCGCGTTAGGTCCTAGTGGCTGAATGGTCTACGAGTTAACCTCATTGCTGAGGGATGTTGGGTTCGAACCCAAGTGAGTGCATAATTCCGAAGTGTCCTAAACCAGGGGACTTTTCAACAGCAGAAGTGTTTGCTTTAGTAAGCAGCCAAATAAAATAAATGCTGCTGATTTTGGGCAGGCTTACTGCTATAACAAGGAAACTTTTATCAACAAAATTTCAATAGTCAATGGTTGTTCCTCCCGCATGCATTTCATTAGATATTTGTAAAACAATTTATTAGAATTATGTAAATACTAACTGGCATTCGCATATCTATAAGATCTTCAGCATTTGTGCTAATGTTAACAGAGTTGTACTCCTACCTTCATGTGTGGTAAAAAAACAGATACCGTGTAAATATTTCTATTATCCTATAGAAAATAATTTCAGTGTTTAAGGTTCCTTTAAGCCATCGTCTATAGTTAGCCTAAAGGATATTTGTGGTCATCTGATAGAATAATGCTTTTATAAACACCTGTTAATATCAACATTCTCCTACCTTTGAAACTCCTATGTTAGCTAAGAACATTGGTCTGATTTTAACATTGAAATTTGCCTGAAAAATCTCCTGGATTTAGTAAAGCTATTTTTAATCCAGAGTTGAGTGTCTTCTGCATGTATTTTTATTAGAACGTTTATTGTACAATCACTAAACTAGCACAGAAATGCCAGTATAGTTTCAAACAGAATTTCTATACTTTAATCACTATGTAAATTTGATCTTCGCTTCTTCTTTTGAAACACTTAGGTTCCTCCTGCAAGTATTTGATGTTGGAGCCAATGAATGGGCTAAACTTCCTTGAAGTCTGTCAATTAGATTTAATTCAAATTAGTTCCAGAGGTTAAACATTTTTATGCCAAAAATGCATATTTTTTGATTTATTGCAAATATGGCTCTCAGTTTTTATTCACATAACTTAGAAATGTGACATACTGAATTCTTATTTATAAAAACTTAATGTTGTAACAATCATAAAGTGTTTGCTTGCTTCGTAACATAAGGTTATTGTTAAGTTGCATAACAAGTATTGAATATGGATATCTGTAGTATTAATTTTCTCTTCTCAATATATTTTTGTACACCTGAATGTGTTTTTATTTCCATTTCTATTACTTTGTATTTAGGAATATTCTCACCAACTTATTTTTAGGTCTCCGATACAGTCTAAAGTTTCGAATTATAATGAGGTGTCTACTCAACACTTTTTGGTTTTCACTGGTTCTCTAAGTGATAACAATTTGTGACAAAATTTGAACTGGCATGCATAGATGCACTTCGACCTCATGAATTTCGAATTTATTTGTAAAAAGCCATCGGTTTGTTTGAAAATTCAAATAGGCATTTTTTTATTATTTCAATGTGAAAAGTCTCCAAAGCAGTGGAGGTATAACAGTTTATTTTCAAAATAGACGGATTAGATTCCTCATTTGTAAAACTGTATTGCTTTGAGGTGAAAATTCATTACAGTTTCCTTTGGAAAACTAAAATATTCAGATCATGACATATAATTAGCTTTTACTGATCATCATGTATTTGCAGATTAAGATCTAGTTTATTTCGCTAGGATGATTTTTGCACCTGGATACTAACCCCTACTCTCTGATTTCACTGGTCAGGTCAATAAACAGTCTGCGTTCTGTATTGCATAACTATACTAGAATTTTAATGTGATCAGTACATTTTGATCTGAATATTTTAGGTTTCTACACGCAAACGTGTTGATATTTCACTTCTGAGTGTACAATTTTCAAACAACAAATTTTATTCTAACACCGATTTCATTTCTAGTGTTTAAGAATAATGATAATATCGGTTACAAATTCTATCGGCTTGTTGTATAGTTGTTACTCGAATGTTGTTAATGGACACTTTTTACATAAACATATAATGTCTACTACATTAAATTACAATTTACCTTATTTCGGATTAAATGTGACTTTAAAAGGCATCCGTTGTACACTTCACTGCAGAACCGATACTACACTGAATTGTGTGTGTTTTTTTCAAAATGTATTGCATTATTTAAAATCTTTTCAACTATATTCATTAAATTACAAAAAATGTAGAAAGTGAACTGAGTGAATTTTCATGTATTTAGAAAGCATAACATTTTAAAGGCATTTTTGATTTCGATACAACCAAATTCAATTTGCTTATGGAATGATGCAATCATTTTCCGAAGTGTGGGTGGAGGCTTTTTGAGTGTATATTCACATTGTAACCGGTTTAATAAGCAATGAAACTTAATGATAGCATCTACTGTTCAGTCGCCGGTATAATGTATAAGAATCCTGTAACACAAACCCTTATCACACCAATAGCTTCTCTTATATTACTTAACATAATCACATCTATGAAGTTCGAAAATAAAGTATGAACCACTTGTTAGTTGTTGTTTTTGTAGTGAATTTTTTAATGTTTTTTTGGTTACTTGAACAACCCGCCTCCCCACAAATATTCTCCGTTTGTCATTATTCTCATTAAAGGCAGAACTTTTATGAAATTTTACAACCTTGAACAAATTTAGTGTATATAAGTCTAAAAACCTACATTTCACTATAACAAACAGCTTAGAAAAGGGAATCAAAAGCGAATTCCTTGGGCACTTTTATTCAGTAAAACGAAATTTAGACATTATTAAAAAATGTAGATATGCTTTCAAAAGTTTTCATTATCTGTGTTTATTACTCCACGTTGTTTAGCTTCAGTGGTTTGACAGAATCGTGTTATACAACGAAGTACTTGTATACACTTTATTCGATAAAAATCTCCATTATTATGCAGCCGATTTTCCACTTTTAATTTCGACAACTTATCCTATGTGTAGCAGCCTTTATTAGCTGCCCTTAGTAAGTACCTGATTACTAAACTTCTTAACGTCTGTGTTATTGTTATGCTGTTGAAATCAACACCGTCAACATTTGTAATTGCCGGAGAAGTTAGAGACAGTTCCAGTTGTTTACGATGATTGTCAAGAATACAACAAAAATCACTACAGAATCAGATTGACTCTAAGTAGTCATTTGAATCAGATAGGCTAACAAGAAATATTTTCCATATTTTAGGCCAGAAACAAGACTTATTTTGAAATAACTTGAAAAAGGCATTATCATATAATCTTATATTCACATTATCAATATAGGATTGTGGTTTTTATCACTCTAGCAAGCAGATACACCATTATAAAGGATTTTTTATTTCCCAATGAATGAAAAACCAAACGCGGTTGTTTTTACTGAAATTTGGCTACTTAATAGTAATAGCTTTATCAAAGGATAATATTTTGGTAGAGCTCTTAGTATGAAATAGCAAAATGTCAATAAAAACAATATCGTTTTGTTTTTCATTAATTGAGAAGTACAAAAAGTCTTAATAATAATAATGAATATCATATACTCAATGCCCAAATGATTTCAAACTAGTGAACAATAACAATGTATCAAGAACTTTCAGTTACATTTTTTTGTAGTCTGGAAGATGTATGACTCATCTTTCATTATATAAATAAGTCACTATGTAACTAATTCCACTCTGCTTCAATGACCGGCACTTAAGTCAATAAGGAATGAAAATCAAATGAACTCTATTCAAGATTTGACAGAATATTTCTAAAATATTTGGGCCCCGAGTGAGAAGTAGACATTTGTAAAAAATTATCTTAGTAAAATCTCAGCGATATTGAAATGAGTAATTCCAACGTTTCGTTCGACAATCTGGTTCGAACTTCTTCAGGGAAATCAATCGAAATTAACATAAAAGAGGTTCATATATAAAAAGAACATCTCTTATTTTTAAAAACTTTGTCAAATTATGATTCATAAAACAAGTAATAACAAGTATAATAAACAAAATTGTATGAGTTGTGATCAAAATTTGACCTGAGACTTAGAAATATTGATCTACCTTTGTTAAACACTTTAAACACAGTGTGTATGTGTGTGTGTGCGAACGAAACGTTGGAATTACTCATTTCAGTATCGCTGAGATTTTACAAATATAATTTTTTACAAAGGAATGAAAATGCTGCTATCTTACTAGGCAGGTATTCGCATTATTGTAAATTTCACTGACTGATGACCAACTGTTTTAAGATAAACTCACTATACCTTACAAATGTACGGTGATTTTAGGAAGTCTGTAATTACAAAAAAAATAATATTAACTCTTCAGAATGAAAGCAAGAAACATTTTTCACTAACACACAATTATCGGTTTGGTTATTTTTTGGAAGTTTAGATAAAATTGGTTCTGTTTTCATTCTAACGAAATAACTTTGATGCTCTCTGTATAAATGGTCGTTAAAATTTATCTAAAAGAGAATAAAACTGTGTATTTTAATCAACAATGCTCTGAAGATACATTCTGAATATTGAGCAAATGTTTATACTGCTAGTAAATGAAAAATGGAGATGTTTTGCTGTTACTACTATGGAAGTGTTAACTGATAATTTCAACAAAATTAATCCTGCCTGCGACGTCTTTAAAATTCAGAAAGTATTTCCACTAACATCTCCAACTTTACAGAGCGTTATTCAGCATAGAGTCTGGAATCTGAAATTTCTTATTGGCATTCAGCATTTATTAATTTAAATGTAAGAAGTAATACTGCGCAGAATGTATTTTCAATGGTCTACATTGTCTCTGCAGAAGTACTTAAAAAAACAAAAAGGCTTTTAAACAATTTTTTTAGAATTTTCATTATTTCTACGTTTGAATATAAACCGTTTATTTGACTATTAGTTAGTTACTTTGAATGAAAACATGACTGCACATAAATCAGTTATGTTCCAATTACAGCATAAATAAGTTTACTAACAGTTAGCTTCACTTACCATCATCCTGTTGACCGCGAATTACCATACAGCAAAATACCCAAATACACAAAATATTTTGCAATAAGTTGGTCATTATCTCTTGTTCTTTAAAGAATAGTCAAATGTGAATATAATTCTTCAGCTGAATTCTTTTGTTGAATTTTGTTAAAACTATCACAAATCTAATTAATAAATGGTTTTCACAGGCTTCTTATTGCACAAATGTTTAAAGGTAAGCGTGACCAATAGAAATTGGTATTTTTACCGGTTGGTTACCTAGTTATCTTAATATGTGCACAGAATACCGGCCGGTATATGACAATCGATTAATGTAGTTTTATGTACTTGTGTTTTACATTTGTGTGCTTCTTTTGTGTGCATACTTTTTCGCGATTTACAGTTTCGATACCATTCAATCTTCAATAGCTTATAAAAATATTATATGTTAGCTAGCACCCCTTGCATAAACAGAAAAAATCATTTGAAAAAAACTGTATCGAATAGTATCTTTTCTGAAAACAGTAGTTTATATATATATATATGTAGTGATGGATTATTTGAATATAAGCAAATTATTTACAACAATTGACAGCTCTTCAGTGAAACAGAGATATGCGACCACAGTTTTATCTTGCAAACTAAAAAAATACTATTGCAGAAAGATTGGTAAAAAAGAAAGACTTAATTTTTAGTCTAAGTAATGGTCATTCCATAGATCAAGGATATTTTCACTTGCGTTCTGGTACTGAATAAACCAACTGTATATTTATTATGTTCGAAAGCTTTCTCAGGCAAATATATACACTTTAGAATGCATTGAAAGTATTTTTTAACATCACCTCTAGGTAGTTTCACCAAAAGTAAAAAGGGATGTCTTGTATATCAAGTAAACTAGTTTCAAATAGGAAATTTTGAGGTAAATGTATGTTATGTAGAAGTTCAGAAAAACCTGTCCCATAAAATATTCAATATATAGTTTATTATACACTGTTTGTTAGAGAATTCTCTCCAAGGGACTAGTAAACCCTCAGTCTGTAAATCTTCAACACCTGCATAATATTTTGGTCATTTCTTTTCTATTTAATAAGCAAACAATTCAGTCTGTATTCTGGACTAAACTCCGTTTACATATTAAAGTTTCCAGAGTTTATTATTGTGAAATATTTATTTGATGCACACTATTCTTGGAGGTATATGAATAGTAGTAGTGGAGTGTATTTCACTGAATATAATATTGTTCGATCTGAAAATCACTGCAAAATTCACTAAATGTTTCCCCTCATTTTCTCTCAGGAGTGCACAGTGATACTCAGAAAGTGCTTTAAAAGAGTATACAAGTGAAGAACACGGTTTAACAGTGTAAGTGAATGAATAAAACAATAACAGATAGAGTAAATGGAATGCAATATAATACAGGCGAAAATGACTATGATAACCCATCAGTTTAGGTGGTGATGATTTATTGAACAGAAATATAAAATTTTTCACTTAAAAATTGCGCTTCCACTAAAATGCTACCTACATGCGTCGTTTGGTAAATAAATCACAGATTTGCTTTACGATATATCTGTTTATATGTTGTGTGTAACGTTTTCAAATCACATAGCTACTTACGCACATGTAAAGCCTAAAAGAGAACACATCTGACTTGTGTTTCATCCACTGAATATCTGCCTTTTCGGCAATTTCACATAAGAAAACCGAAATCATTCAGAATTTGACAACTATGTGTTTCTGACTTGTTCTTGCCCTTATGGCCCATTGCTATCTATCAAGGTATATTTATATTTTTTAAATAATGGTAATCATTTATAGCATAATCTTTGTGCTTTGTAGATCCAAGATACTTCATTTTGTATTTATCATTACTTTTAAAAGTACTTCTTCTCTCGTCTTCTCTTCATATAAACATCTTATTTTTTTATTCTAAAATTTTCTGTCACCTACGGGAAAAGAGAAACACTTCCTATATGTGACAGCACTTAATACATACAACTGCTTATGCGTTGTTATCAGATCTGCACTCCAAACGCCGTTTTACCCTCAAGTGAATTACAGATTTAGTGTAGTCCTTTTTTTATTGTGTTGAAATTTGCATGATGGTAATTATTACGGATACGTTCACATTTTCCTAATGATATTTATATTGTAGTGTACTGCTTTTAAATGATATAAAAACGAGTTAAATTTATTTAAATGTCAGTTGGTTTTCAGATTAGATTACCGTGAGTATTTACGCGCGTAGAACGTTTGACATACAACCTTCAGGTTTTTCCACTAATGAAGCTTTAAAGTCATTTATGGATTCATATTACCTCAATCAGTACAAAATTGTCATTTTTCTGTTGTACTTTTGATCACTGGAAGTTTTAACAGTTATTCATTCATATTGTATGTTTCAAAATTAAATTTGAAGGGCATGGTTTTTCATCAAACAATGGCATCAGCTTGTATACTAGTGAAAACACATATCTGAAATGTTATTTCTGATTAAATTAGTTTTGCTAGTTCTTAAACTTAGTGTAGATCATGAATCCTTGGAATTTTAACATCCACTAACTGAATTTAAAATCAGTATCTGATTTCTGAATTTTTCTTTCTTGAAGATATGGATCACTGCCGTTGAATACACTTAACGAGCTCAGAAACAAGTCAAGTAATTTTGACACAGGTGGTCTCTTGACAACTTTTTGTAAATATGTAGGATGTTTTTCAAAGAATAAAATCGTTTGGATTCGCCAGGGGAACAGTTTGAAATGGGCATGAAAAGTTGTAGCAAGTACGAAATTAATTTCCTCAGTTTCAACATGAATACAATGTGTGAATCGGATAGTTTCACTGGGAGTGATTCTGAATCTTCTTACCAAGCTGAAGTTTCCCATCGTTACCTGAAACATGATAAAGAAACCTATATTTTCCCAGACACAAGAAATCATCAGCCGGGCACCTTTTAGATTAGTATCAAGTTATATTTAATTCAGCATTTGATTTCTTTCACAATTTTCCGGTATCCCTCAAAACAACACGTTTAGCATATTCTGAATAGGCATATGAAAAACTTGCTAGCCACTTTAGTATATGTAAGTCTACAAGTGCATTGTCTGATGTATGCGTTAACTAACTAATGCTCCTACCGATTAATGATAGTTCCACTAATGCAATAGCCGTCAGATACAAGGATACTTGCTGGAATGCCGTCTTTTCATAATCTTTTTGCGAACTGAGGTACTTCTAATATATACTATATTGTCCATGGGCAGTCTCTGCACCATAAATTTAACAGTTTTAACAAGAAAAAATCAGCCAGTCGGTCTGAAGATACCTGACACTCAAGTTTAATGAAACAGTTTTAGTACCAGATCATTCTTGCTTAACCACTACGACTGAGTTCCTAATTCTAAGTTTGTTTCGTAAATTTAAGAAACTAACATTCCACGCTGTTGAACAGCAAACGAAGCTGTGCTAAGAAATTGCCACTTTTGGGTTATATGTTAGTCAGACTAATTATAATTCTAATATTAGATAATTAACATTATAATATTAAATGTCCCGGTTATTCAGTGTGTATTTTGTTTGTTCAGTATGTCCAGTTTGATTTCTCTTTGTGTCAAAATTACATTTAAATTTGTTTTAGCAAAATGATATTTCTTCCTATGTGTTTTTTGGTCAACTTTAATTGATTAATTTTATATTATTCACTTTTGTGAAACATGGTAAAGAAGTCTTACCATTCCAACACTAGTTACAAACTCACAGTCAACAGTATGCTTTGAAAGTAGACTTCGGTAATTCGAAAAGTCGTTCACACCACAAAACATTGAAAAACTGACAGGTATATGAAAACTGTTCTCCTTAAGTAATGAAACTTGCAATTTAATGTGTTTTAAGACATCTCATTACTCATAGGGTTGTTCATTGCAGCTTTAACAATTAGCAGTAAATTTTCATCTGAAACAAGTACCGAATCTTCGAAGAGACTAATAGTTTTATGCTTTCTGTACACGCGAACGGCTTTTTGAGGGTGTTTGCGTAATCTATTTTGCTTTATGTGACATGACTTATGGATGCATTTTTGACAGAACACACATTTATACTTTGAAGAAAGATGCCAACTTTACTAACATCTTCATTCAAGTTGCTAGTTCGGTACTAAATTAACAGTCGAAATGATTACATTTTGACCTCATCGTTATGAATCTCATGGTGGCATAAACAATTAGCATAGAAAAAAAATACTTTTATGCCTTTAGTCACTGAAGCTTTAGAGGACAAGTTTTGGTGGCTATAAAAAATGCAACTGAATTAATTCACCAGGAGTCTAAGTATTAGGCGAAGTAAAGGAAAGATAGTCTGTTGGGCTACCTCTTAAATGAAAAGAAACAATATATAAATATACATAAAACCACTAGATTATTTTCGTGTATTAGAGATGACATTTCGGTTACTTTATTTCAATGGCGTGTTTTGGAAAAACTAAACTTTGAACACCGAAACGAAACGGCGAACAAACGACTATGAGCACAACAATCACATGAAAAAGGTTTTTAAGTGTAGAATAGATATACTCATGAAAATAATGAATAAAAAGGCTCGAAACTGTTACACAGGATGCCCATCTCCGAAGTGTAACAAAAATGCCTCTCAGTTTTGGATTGGAGTGTCAATAGAGTAATTATGACATATTCTATGAGTGCGTTCATCTAAGCTTTCCAACCTTTCGGCTAACCCTAATATCTTCTCTGTCATGTTAACTCAACCCTAACCTGTCCTCACCTTAATTTTTTTCAAACCAAGGAAAGCCAACTGAGAATTCCTGTTCAGGATAAAAGCACTTCACTAACCAAGTTTTACTCATGATTCGAATGTTATTTGTCTACTTTAACTAACTAGCTGATTAAGCATTCTAATATCATTGCTACTGTCTCACTCTTTTGGTACATTCTAGTGCTTAGAGTTTAACTTCTCCCCAGTTTCCAGTGATATATAGCCAACGCACGTATTTCAGGTTATGGTATTGCAGTTGTATGCTGGAAACTGGCTAC